GCGCTTTGGAGATAGTTGGTCATTTCTAACGAAATGTTCTCTATTCAACAATACAGTTAATCGGCATTACGCATCATTTTTTATATAACTAATCGTATTTCCTTAATTTGCATGCCAAATTTCGTACCTAATGCTTCTTACGTCTCTGCGCAGCATTTCTTCATTTTCATAGGCGTTAACTTAAGTTAAACACATTTCTTAAATAAGTGTTTATAGCACGATTTTCAGGCTATATTAGTCTCTTTTACTTGGAGATATTTGCATAGATTGCTTACTGAATTATTGCTTTAAGTTACTTGTTTTTACAAAGAGAATATTAACTCAGTAATATCAGATTAATGGGTTAAATGCACCAAATTCTCATATTACAAGAGATGTGGCATTGAATCTTAATCTATTTGGGCTAATCCTTTTTGTTTGTATGCGCCAATGATTAAGATTATCATTTGTTTCATCATTATCTTACTGAATTATCGTTTTTTAAAACAATTCTCATTGTTTGATTATACATTACATAGATGGCCAATAAAGAACGGTATGGTTCAATGGAGTAAATCGTAGTCAATTCTGAGTATCCATCAGTAAATAAATCGCTTATTTAAGTATCAATTAGATTAGCCGTTAGACTCTGCTTGCGATTTTGCATTAGAAAGGATATCCAATTCATTGCAAATGCCTTATTTAAAATAATATACTCATTGCAATTGGTGAATGTGCCGCGTTAATATTTTTATACATATTAGGTTGAAACTATTTTCGGCAGATTTAAGTTAATTTTGATTCTTTTTTACCACACTAACTCTATATCTGTATTCATATAAACATACACATAAATATACATACACTTTTGTCCAGATCGTTCAATTGCTCAACACGTTGTATACTTTGTTTGATGAGATAATCGAGAGTTTCGATGTCTACAAAGTGGAGACTATCGGCGATGCCTATATGGTGGCTTCTGGGCTACCAGTGCGGAATGGTCATCGACACGTGGTGGAGATTTCAAGAATGGCGATGGCATTCCTTAAGACGTGTCTCATTTTTGAGATCCCCCATCAGCCAAGCCGGCGACTTGACCTTCGAATTGGCATCCATTCAGGTAGGGATGCATTAAATTCTGTTAAACCAATTTTGATTTGGCAATAATGAGCTATCATTTCTAATTATTATACGCTTTTCTCCTTTCAGGTCCTGTTTGTGCCGGAGTTGTAGGACTCAAAATGCCGCGATATTGTTTATTTGGCGACACTGTTAATACAGCCTCCAGAATGCAGAGTAATGGAAAAGGTGAGCAAAAGTGTCGAGTTTTACTGGTGCAGATTGAAAATGGTTTGCTCACATCTAGAACTTTCTGTATAAAATATGAATTTCAAGGAAGGCCAGGCCTTTTATCATATAATATTATTTGGTGGGATTGTCGGTGAATCAAACGTATATTTGCCATTACAATCGACTACGCTACTTTATTTTTTACATTAAGTATTGTTTCGAGAAAACAAGTAACTTAGTAATATGTGGTGTATTCACGCAATTTCGTTTACGGTGATGAAGGACTGGTAGAAGAATTTTCCCACAATGATATGAATAGAGATGACTTATCCATTGAATTTCACATAGACTTGCTTTGGCAAAAGTTGTTCTCATCCAGGCACCATTGGACCGCAGCTTCGACCTCGCATCGGTCTTATCAACATCCCCAGCGGGAGTCGAACCGTGACAGTGCAGAATGGGAGCTTGAAACATTAAACACTCGGCCACATTGCCCTTGGGTCACAGGGCAAATGTGAACTTCAAGGGAGGCCAGGCCTTTTGTCATATCATATTCCTTGGTGTGATTGTCGATGAAGCAAACGTATATTTGCTATAACAATCGACTACGCATTTAAGTATTTTTTTCGAGACTACCAGTAAATTAGAAATATATAAGATAAGGCCTATTCGAGGTGGAAACTACAGTTCACCCACCTTTCGGGAAAAGCAAGCCTATGCGAACGTCAATCGAAGCATTCGCTCTACTCATATCTTTGTGGAAAAATTTAGCTACCAGACTTTCATCACCTTAAACGACAGAGGATGAACAAAACTGATATATAGATATGATTTAACAGGGGTCTCGATTACCTACAGATTGATATAATAAGTAATAAGTAGTATAAGATGTATTCACCCAATTTAGTGATAAAGGACTGGCACTCGTGTTAATGTGACCGAGTGGTAAGCGTGTCAAACTCCCATTCTGCACTGCGTTGATAAGACCTATGCGAGGTTGTAAATGTAATCCACCCTGGATGAGAACAAGGCCATGTGAAATTCAATGGAAAGGTCAGATCTACTCATGTCATTGTGGGAAAATTCTTCTCCCGTCCTTCATCCCCTTTAACGAAATTTGGCGAATTCATCTCGTATTTCTGATTTACTGGCAGTCTCGAAACAATACTTAAATGCTAAAAATACATAATACTAGGCAATAGAAGACTCCAGGCTTAATTAATCTTTGACTCTTGTGACGTCTGTAACCGTCTGCGTATCCTGTTGAAGCGATTAACTCAACAAGACACATTAAATGTTGTTCTCTCTTTGCATTGAAGCTCTTTGATATCGTCGTCGATCATGGACTGACTTGACCAGCCATAACGTTGGTTTGATCTCGTTTTCGCAACTCGGTCGAAGCGACAGGGCGACATTGCGTAGCCTACTTAGTCTTGAATCCTCTGCCATCATATTAATGATGGTTTCCAATATCGGACAATTGGTTTGATACATTCCCACACATTTAGCCGGCATCGTCAGAGAGCGGCGCTATTCTTAGCACAGACTTACGACTTATCAAAGTGACAATTTTCTGTTCAACCGTTGTGGCATTTCTTCTCGCTCATAATTTTTGTCTCGGCTTATGCTGCTGCATCTTTTTCTCTCATCCCCACTCCATGCATAAGTGGTTTGACCTCGGTTCAGCAACTAAGGCGTGTCGTCAGAGCGGCCTAGTTGGGCGAGCCTTGTCCGAGGTCATTTGCTAAAAGTAGTTATGCCAATTCCCAGCGTTTGACTGTTGACTTGATACATTCTCTGACGTTTCACCGGCATCGTAGTCAGCATCATCAGTGAGTCTTGCCATTCTCGGCAACAAGCTACAAAAAGGATAATTGTACTTCGGGCAAGGTTCGTCCAATTAGGTCGCCTTGGTAACATGACCAAGTTGCAAAACGGGGTCAGACCACTTCTATACATCAAAGGGGACTGCGACCAAAATAGATCTTCACGTCTACTTTATGTGGCCCGTTTACAGATTCGTACCAATCTGTGCTCCCGATTCCTCCAATGTCGCCCAAGAGTGTCCAGGTACAAAGGCATTTAGTTCTGGATGCCGTTTGAAGGACTTCAGGGTCGTAGCTTCTGACTTTTGGTTCAGCCGCCCTCCACCCCCCACTTATCAGTTGTTCCCTGCTACACATGAAAACACAGTCTGGTTGTCTATGAGTCTGTAATTTCGGTCCCCGTTTACGTCATATTTGAGGGTTTTAGACTGATGCTTCTCATGCCCAGACATCTTTCGCTCCATAAGCTTCAGACTCACGAATCGGTCATCCTTCTTAGCATCCCCACGCAAGTGTGAAAATGGACCGCTTCCCTTTTTCGACTACTGCATCGCGTTAAACACACTAATGTCTCTCAAGATGACAGTACCATCTAATCCTCACGTTCTAGTCAGTTGTTCTTGTGTACGTTGATTGGCAACTTCCCTAGTCCTTGCACTACAGGAAGACACAGAAAAATGCACACACGCACCAAAACACTCATTGCGGACCAAATTATTCTGTGCTCTTGGCTCGGTTGCCACGCTTTAGTTAATTTGAGCACCTCTAATGGTATATAATCTGCATGTTTCTGGCCTTTAATGTGCTATCTCACATCTCACAGAAAGACCCAAATCGGAATTTTTTGCTGATTCCTCAATCGCCTTTTCTTGGCTTCCCTTTGACCTTCATGATCCTCTTC